TCCTTTGTTCCTCCCGCGCCGTTCTCCGCGGCTTTCCCCTCCCGTGCGCACACGCGTGCCCGCAGCCGCGCACACGCACAGCCGGCTCCACGCACCCCCACGGCCCCCCCGGCATTGCGGGGCCCCTCTCCCGCGAACAAAGCCCCAGCTGCGGGGCTTTTGTCCCCCTTTCAGGCCGCATTTGTTCCAGTTACCTCCCGGGCCCGCAGCATATGGAAGGTCAGTGCGGGCCGGCCCCGCTGCCCCGACGGGCGGCCCACGCCTCCCCTGTCCCCCAGCTCCCCGCAGAGCCCCCCAAAAGCTGCATTTGCAAAGCCTCCCGTCTCACCAGGGGCTTTCCAGGCACCCCTTGTTGCCCTGCGGTTAGTTTCTAGATCCCTTCCAAGCTGCTTAAACACACATATGAATTTCACATTATATATATATATTTAATGCATTTTTTCCTATTATATATAATTTTCCCCATGTACATATTTTCCCACTATATACATTTTTCCCCTTTCATATTTATTTTTTGTCTATTCTTTTTATATCTGCGTTTCCCCCATTCCCTTTTTATATACATATATATAAACATATGCACGTGGTGGGGTTTTTTCCCCATTAATTAAGCACTAAACTGAGCCCATTTTCCCGGCCCTCTCGCCTCTCCCAGCCCGGATTCGCTGCCCTCCCTCACTCCAGGCTGGGCAAAGACAGGGTGATGGGCACTGCAGCTCTTAGGACGGGTTAATTCCTCTCAGGTTGGATTTAAGTCCCACCCGCCCTTTGGGTCCCACTTTGGGAGCCAGCAGAGCGTTTTGGAGGGGACAGCACCGGGCTGGTTTGGGGCACAGCGGGATTTCGGGAGGTTTTTAGCCCCAGGAGACCAATCCATGCATTTTCCCCCCTCCCCACAGATTACCAAGGTGACTACTACGGGCCGGGAGGCAACTATGACTTTTTCCCCCACGGGCCGCCCTCCCAAGCCCAGTCCCCGGCCGACTCCAGCTACCTTCAGAACTCAGGACCCGGCTCCACACCCCTGGGACCCTTGGAGCCCCCCCTAAGCGGACACCACTCCTCAGAAAACCAAAGGTACACGGATATGATCTCGCACCCCGACACCCCGAGCCCCGAGCCGGGGATGACGGGCTCGCTGCACCCCATCCCGGGGGAGGTCTTCAGCGGGGGGCCCAGCCCGCCCTTCTCCATGTCCAGCAATAGCGGCTACAGCGGGGCTCTGTCGCACCCCAACCCGGAGCTCAGCGAGGCGGCGGTGTGGTAGGCCCGGCCTGGGCACGCGTGTGCGTGTGTGCAGGGGGAAACCCCCCCTGGTCCCCCCAGCCCACGCGTGTCCCCCTCCTCGCCCACAGGGGCCGGTAAAGCCCCGCCGCAGATGCCAAAGCGCATCCCGGCATCCGCCCGTCCTCCCCATCCCCGCACCCCCCTTGGGGACCTTGGGGCCACCCCGCTACCTCCCCCCTCCCGGCACCTTCCCCCCGACACTTTTGGGGGGGCAAGGAAAGGTGCCCAGCCCTGCAGACCCCGCCGGCGTCGGGACCAGCGCCTCTCGGACCAAAGCTGAACTCGCCTGGACACGGCTCCCACCGCCCCGGCGGCACCGGGGACGGGCTGCGGCAGGGCTCCCCTGCTAATTAGCGTCCTTTTTAATTACCCCCTACCACAGGAAGGGGGGGAACGGGGAATGGCAGGAATAACCCCCCCGTGGCCCCTCCCTGCCCTCATTTTTATTGTTCCCGTCGCACCCCCGAGGAGAAGGTGGGTTTGGAGCCGGATTTTGGCGGTGGGGAGGAGGGGGCTGAGCGGGCCAGGCCCGGGGCTGCCCCAGTGACTGGCTGAGACTGGGCTCCCACGTGGTGGAACAGACACCAGAAAGAGGCAGAAACAGGAAAAAAACCCCACAACGACAACAAAATAAAACCCCAAACAAACAATAAGCCCCAGAACTAAACCGAGCCAACCACAGCAGCAGAAATTTCACCCGAGCCTCGACGCCGAGTCCCACCCCAACGATTCCCAGAGGCTCCGCCAATTTAAGGATGTATTATAGTTTTTGCTTCTAGTTTCTTTATTTTGTATAAAGGAGAAACAAATAAAGTATGTTTTTGTGTTTACTGATTATTTATTGTACTTTAGTCATCGGAGGCTCCGAATTTTTCTATTTTGAAGGCAGGGAGGGGATGGCACCGGGGAGGGGGGTGAGAGCATAGAGAGAGGGGGGGAATAAAAGGAAGGAGAATGGAAAAGGAAAGAAAAAAAGTTGTTTTCTGAAAGCGTCGTGGGTTTCCTGTCCCCGCTGCCTCTTGCGGAGGCTGTTAGTGTGAATGGCTCTTGTTGTTCAATGTGAATAAAAAACCTTTTAGTTACCTACTGTTCGGTCACCTGGTCCCTTTCATTTTATTTTATTTTTATTTGTTTTAACACAAGCCCGTGAGAAATGCTGGCCGGGCTCCCCCACCGTCCCCCAGCCCTGCGTGGGCTCTGGGGGAGCAGCTCCCGCCGCTGCCCAGCTCACCTGCACAGGGGGATGCCGCTGCATCCCCAGCCCTACCCCAGCTCCCCCAGCCCCAGAGCTCCCTGGCTCTGGGAAGGGGCACGTTACCCAGCTCTGCCCTTTCCCCCAAGGCAGACAGCACAATGCACAATTCCTTTCTCCTGGGGGCACCCAAGACCCTCCCGGAGCAGCCCAGGGACACCTGCAGCCCTGCTGGCAGAGCAGCCTCGGGGGGACACCCCAAGTGGGGGTTCAGCAGTGCCAGCAGCAGCATTTGCCCCATTTTCCCTGGGCATACTGGTGCCAGGAGGAAGGGGGGTCTCCTCCCCAGCACCCCAGCTCACTGCCCTTCTCTCCTGCTTTCTATCCCTTGACATACAAAAATAAAAAGTCCCAGGCAGCCTGCAGCTCTGAACTAATATTTAAAATGCAAAATCATGGCAGAGTTTTTCACCCCCCCCCCCACCCCCCCGCTCCTTGTCTTGCAGTAAAACGATATAAACAGAATAAATTACCTTCCCTTGCTGGCTTACGAGAGTCCCTCTCTCCTGACCTGAATTTTAAGTCCTGGCTCGGTTGTAGCACGGAGCACCGATGATTTATGGAAAGCCAGCCACATCTCTGCATATTTTCTCTGCTCAGCCAAGTGGTGGAATTTATCCTTCCTTTACCATTACTGGCATTAATAACGGGGTGGCCAACGAGCCACACTGAGCACCGAGCCAGCCCTCAGCCAGGAGCTGGGACCAGCACAGACTCTGGGCTTCCCTCTACCCCCCAAGAAAAACACCTTCTCCCCTTTTCCCAAATGGGGAAACTGAGGCAGGAGCACAGCTGGCTGCTCCCCTGAGCTCCAGCACTCCCAGGTTGTCTGCGTTAGCAGGAAATTGGGAATTTTCATAAGGACAGGGTGATGTGCTGGTAAATAACCCACCCACAGCATCATTTTGAGGAGTATAAAGTGGTCAGTCACTGGGTGAATACTGAAACTATTATTGCTATTTTTATTATTATTAATTCAAAATTCAAGGCACAGAGCTGAGGCTGTTTTAGGCTGCTGGGACACTCCATCTGTGAGACCTGGACAGAAGAGGCTGCAGGAGGGATTTGGGATGATGCTCCAAGCTGCCAGCTCCCAGGCTGGAGGCTGGCAGGAGGATGGGACTCAGCAGGAGCAGCCATCAAAGCAGGGCAGATCCCAAGGGAAAATCCCCTGGCACAGAGGAGCTCTGCAGCTCCACTGGGTGCAGGAGCCAAACCGGGGTCCCCATCACCCCAGAGGTGCCAGAAAGGCAGCAGCTCTCAGGATTGCTGCCTGTCTCCAGCTGCAGAGTGACCGCAGGGCACCAGCTGGGCCCTGCCACCCCTTAGGGGTGTCCCAGCCACCCCTCACCTCACATCCCTGCCAGGCACATCCACGGCCCCCAGCTGGCACCCAAAGGCCCAGTGCCCCCTCCCGAAGGCAAGGAGGGGAAAAGCTCCCTGCTGGGTCACCCCAAACCCCACAGCCAGGCCCCTGCCACCCCAAACCCCACAGCCAGGCCCCCGCCACCCCCAGCACTGACCCTTCTGTGCTGAGGAATCATCATGGTGAGCTCCTGACTGCCCTGACCGCCCCGCCAAGCAGAATCACGGGAATAAATTCCTTTTTAAAAGCTGTTGGGCAAAAACCAATGCTATTCGGTTTTGTTTTTCTTTTCTTTTCCTGACCTTCTTGCTTTTTTTTTTTTTTTTTTTTTTTTCGGAAGGGGAAGGTCTGCAGAAGGTGGGAAGTAATCAGGTTTTGGACCTGGGATAAAAAATAGCTGGAGTAGGTTGGGCTGACTCCTTATAATTAATAGTGTGCCTCGTAATAGGATTCTCCAGCCTTCGGTGCTCCCTGGAAACACCTTTTTACATAAGATATTGCTCACGATGGAGTGGCAGAGCTCTGATTTATGGGGGTTTGGTCTCCACGAAGCACCTGGGAAGGTGGCCTGACCGGTGGGAGGTGCAGGGCAGGGGGCTGAGGGCAGGGAGGGGCTTCTGGGGGGTTGGCAGCCAGGTCAGGGGAAAGGGCTCGTGGGGGGATGTGGGTGAGCTGCTCCTGGGGCTGGCTGCTCCAAAAGGGAGGAGGATGAGAGGGGTTGGGGCAGCAAAAGGCTTCTCTCCCTGCCCAGCACCACAGGGCACAGGCTCAGCAGGGGAACCGGGTGGGGCTGGGGGGCACCAGCAGGAGCAAAACCCCGCATCACCCGGAATGCGAGGAAGGAGAGGGGAGAAATGTTGGGAGGACACAAAAAAAACCCCAGGAGGCGCCACAGGAAAGGGCCAAAAGCAAACACAGCGCTACAGAGTGGAAATATGGGAGAGTAGGAAAGCTGGGGGGAAAGGGAGAAAGAGTGGGATGAGGGGGAAAAAGAGGGGTCTAGGATGGGGTATATCCCCTCCACATGTTAGAGCTCCTCGGAGCCTGCAGGTGTTAAACCCGGCCGGGGATCCCCGTGGATAAATCCCCGTGGATAAATCACCGAAACAAGAGTGCTGTTCTCGTCTGGCCACAGCCAATGTGCAGGAACGGGAGAGGATTGTAATAATTAATAATCATTACAATAATAATGCATAAAGACAGTAGCAAAGTAATTAGTCAGAAAGGGAGCGTTTGCTAATTGAGGAGGGGAGCTGCAGCCCGAACAGCCTGGGGAGGAGCAGGGGGAGTGAGGAGAGGGGGCAGAGCAGAATACCCGGCATGTCCCAGGGGAAAAGCGGGATGTGCGGGCCCAGTCCCACCCTCAGCACCTTGTGCCTGCAGTGCGACCCCCGTGCCTCAGTTTCCCCCTCCCTGCATGGACACTGCCTGCTGAAAAAGGCTGCGTGAGGAGCCCGGCCCGCGTCCCCAGGCTTTATTTCGGTTCTTTGGGAATGAAAGCAAGCAGAGCGTGCCAGGCGGGCTCTGCCACATGCCCTGCCCGGCGCGGGTGTCACTCCAGCCCCAGCTGGCTCTGCAGGGCCCGCAGCTGGGCCGTGTGGATGTTGCTGCCGCCGCACACCACGAGCAGCACGGGGCGCAGCGGGCTCGGCAGCCGCCCCTCGCTCTGCAGCCGCCGCAGCCGCCCCGAGTAGAGCACGGCCAGGGGGGCTCCGCACGCCGGCTCCACCAGCAGCCGCTCGTCATCTGCGGGACCGAGCGGGGACTTTGCGGTGACACCGAGTGACAGCTGGCCCGGCACCCCGACCCCAGTGCCCCCAGGGTCCGGCGGTGTCCCTGTCACCCTGACCCCAGGGTCCAGCAGAGTCCCTGTCACCCCGACCCCAGTGTCCCCAGGGTCCAGTAGTGTCCCTGTCACCCTGACCCCAGCAGCCCCAGCGTCCGGCAGTGTCCCTGTCACCCTGACCCCAGGGTATAGTAGTGTCCCTGTCACCCCGACCCCAGCAGTCCCAGGGTCTGGTGGTGTCCCTGTCACCCCGACCCCAGTGTCCCCAGGGTCCGGCATTGTCCCTTGCACCCCGCTCACCCAGGAACTGCTGCACAGCCCGCACGGCCTCGGCGTCCTGCACCACCTGCGAGAGCACCTGGCACTCCTGGGCACACTCCAGCGCCCGCGCCGCCACTGTCTTGGCTCCCAGGCACGTGGCCACGCTGGGACAGCAGGGGACAAAGCGGTCAAGGCGAGGACACCGCAGCGGGCCCTGCCAGCTCGCTGCACTCCTGGCTGCTCACCTGGTGATGTCGGGCAGGGTGACGAGCCGGCCGGCTTTGAGCGCCTCGTGGAAGCTGTGAGCTCCCAGCGTCTCGGCGGCGATGATGGGGACATCCTGCCAGCCCACCTGCTGCAGGCCGGCCACGACACCGGCCAGCAGCCCCCCGCCACCCACCGCCACCACGATGGCGCCTGGTTTGTCCTCCAGAGAGTCCTTCAGCTCCCGGACCAGGCTGGCGTGACCCTCCCTGCAGGGGGAGGGCAGGAGGATGCAGCCGGGGGCTGCCCTGGGTTCTGGGGACGGGGAGCGGGGCCGGGAGCTGAGCCCTGGCAGCACTCACCACACCAAGGGGTGGTCGAAGGGGGGGATGATGACCCAGCCCTCTGTCTTAGCCAGCTCCTGGGCTCTGCTGTTGGCATCATCCCACACCTGGGTGGGGCAAGGAGGGCTCAGCAGGGCTCCACAGAGCCCTCACAACCCCGGGATGGGTCCCTTGTCCCCGCGGGGCTGGGGGACACCAGAACGGGTGAGGGCTCCCGGGGGGAGCCTGCAGTGATGCAGGGGGTGCAGGAGGGGGACATTTCGGGATGGGGTTTGCCAAGCACCAATGAGCAGCTGAGGTCAGGCTCAGCCCTCTCTGGACCCCCCAGACCCCACTTTTGGGGGTACCTTGCCGTAGACCTCGACAGTCGCCCCCAGTTGCTGCAGTTTGCGCACGGGGGTGGGGCCGCTGCTGCTGGGGACCACCACGGTGATGGGCAGGGCCAGCTCCCGGGCTGCGTACGCTGCTGCCAGACCCGCGTTCCCTCCTGGGAGAGGGAGGGCTCAGCAGGGCTCGGCCCCCTGCACACCCCAGATTCCTCAGGAGCATCCCCCCAGCTCGGGGTGGAGTTACCTGAGGAGCAGACGAAGCGGCGGCAGCCCTTCTTGGCAGCCTGAAAGGCAGCAGAGAAAGAGGGGAGGGGACGGCTGTGTGCCCCCACTGTGCCCCCCGTGAGGGCAGGAGCAGCCCCCCGCACACACCGTGCCCACACTCACATCCTGGCACAGGTGCCCGATGCCCCGGATCTTGAAGGATCCCGAGGGCTGGACGTTCTCCAGCTTCATGAAGACCTTGGTGCCCACGGCCTTGGAGAGGGACAGGCTCTCCAGGACGGGTGAAACGACGTGGAAGGGCTTCTGGCCCCCGAGTGGCTGGGCTGCCATGGCCTGACCGCGGATGCTGTGCCAGGGAGAGGCGGTGCAGTCACCAGCTGCTCCCCACGGGTCTCCCCGCAGCCCCTATGCCCACTCCGGGCTGACAGGGCTGTCCCCAGTGTCCCCTCCCATCTCTAGGATGCTCTCCCTGGAAGGTCCCAGGCTTGTGCCACCCCCTCCTCCATCCCCGTGGTCCCCCCAGCCCCGGTGTTCCTAGCCTGTCCTGTCCCCGGGCTGGGATTACCTGGTGTCCGCGGGATGTCTCTGCTTGTCCTCACCCACCGCCGAGCCTGCGCGACAGCAGAGGGACAGGTGACGTCCGAGGGGCCGTGCCGCGGTCCCCAGGTCGCGGTGCTCGGTCCCGCAGCCGGGCAAGGGGCAGGGGTCGGACATTGCCCCGGCTGCTGGCTGTTTGCTCAGCCCGGGCGCGTTTGGAGGCTGCGCTGCTGCCCAGGGCAGCCGGGCTCCCTGCCGGTGACCCGCGGGGACAAACACGTGTGGCACCGCCAGGCAGGTCCCGGCAGCTCTCACATGCCCGGGAGACGGGATGTGGGCTCCCAGGAGATGGGGGAAGAGGAAAGGCAGCTCATAAATAATTTTGGGGCCCTCAAGGGTTTGCAGTGGGTATTATCTGGTCCGGACAAAAACATGTACCAGAAGATTTTAGGATTTTGGTGCTGAACCCCTGGTGTAGCCAGGGCAGATTGCACACCCCAACCCCCAGCCAAGACACTTCTCATTGCCTCCAAAAGAGCCATCACACCCCTCTGCTCACCCTGCCAGGTCCCCACCCCATGGCAGCCCTACAATCCTCTCCCAGGTTCCCACCTCCAGCTGGAGGAGACCCCTGGGATGAATCCCTCTGCTCCAGCTGGCCATGCCAGGCACCTCACAGACAAAGATTCCTTAGGGAGGGGCTGTCCCAAGTGACCCAGGCAGAGGCTGACCCAGACCCAAGGTCCAGCAGCCCCCAGGCAAAGCAGGCAGAGTCCCCTCCCTTCCTCTGGGACCCCTCCTTGTCACCCAGCCCTGGTGACACCCCAGGGTAAAAGTCCTACCTTTGCTCTGAGGGGCTGGTGCTGACCACAGCAGGCAGGGAGGAGGAGGAGGAAGGAGGGATCTGGAGGAAGGGCCAGCCCTGGCTCGCAGCCCCGCAGCCTCAGGAGGTTCCTCTGTTGCTCTGGCCAAGCTGGAGCAGCCTGGAAGCAAAGGGCACAAGGAGTCCTGGAGGGGGGGGACACTGCACTGGGACCAACACAGGCCAAACAGGGAGCACTGGGAACCCCACACTGTGCCAGCTCTGCCCCAGTGCCAGACACACAGCAGTGAAAGCAGAATACAGGATTTCAGTGTCCTGCCCCAAACTGGGCTGCAAACCCCCCTGAGCAGCACTGCTGGCAGGCAGCAAGCAGGGGAGAGCTCTGGGATTGCCCTGCTCCTCATGGAGCTGGTCTTTGGTGCCAACAAAACATCCCTGCTTCCTTCCCACACCACCCCTGAGCACAGCACTGCCCCTCTGCAGGGCCACTCTGCTGCTTTTGGGACACGGGGCCTGGAAAGGAGGGCAATGAGGAGCATTTCTTGAATGGGGGCATCGGGGGGGACACAGCTCCAGCCCCTTGAGTGACGCCCCCACCTCACAGTAGGCAGAGACTGCAGGCACTTCCATGAGGGTGGGACAGCAGCAGGAGCTGGAAAGGTGTGGAAGAAGCCTGTCCCAGCTCACAGGGGTGAAGCTGGGGCTCCCCTTGGGAGGGTACATTTCAGCTCAGCCCTGGGGTGCTCTAGGGTCCCTTTCCACCCCATACCCCCCTCCCTGTGCCTCTTCTGCTCCCCTTTGGCTCCATCCCTGCCATGAGGAAGGCATGCCAGGCTGTCACCTGGTCACTTCCCTCGGCCAGCGTCCCTGGCTGACACTGTGGCAGCAGCTGGGATGGTATTTAACAGCTTTTTGTTTGCTTTTCCATGTTTAAGGAAACAAAAAAGGGAATCAGCAACACTGTGGCATTTCCAGCGTGCCCTTTTCCTCCTTGCTGCTCCCTCACCCAGTGATGGCGATCTGTCTGGGGAAACTGAGGCACAGGGACCCCAAAAGCAGCCCCCCCCCCCCCCCCCCCCCCCCACCCCCCCCCCCCCCCCTTTCACAGTAGCCCACACACCATGGGGACACGAGGGGACACAGGCTTCCCTGCAATCTGTCCCAGCACAGCAGGGTACGGACACCCTACCTTCCCCAGAGCACCCATCCCTGATTTTGGGGTGCCAGCACCCCAACAGCCCAGAGCTGCTCCCTCCCACCCCGCTGCAGGCCCCGGGGCCCCAGCCCCGGTGGGAACCTGGCACCTTCAAAGCTCTGCCGAGCCGCAGCTCATTAATCCCCCAGTAATGACCTCGTTATTCCTAACGAGCCAGAGCGGATCAAGGGGGCTGCCTAAGAGGATTTTGCACGGCGGGTTTTAGGGACGGGGCACACAGGTGCCAGAGGAAAGGAAGACAAAAGGCATGGGGATGGTCTCCCACTTCTGGGGGGTGAGCAGTGGGGCTCCCCCATTCCACAGCCTGCACCCCAGAAGCCCCGGCCTCACTGGGCACACACCCAGCAGAGAAGCAGATCTCCCTGTTAATGGGGAGAGGGACAAGACCCCTGCGTGAGCCCACCCCTAACAAAGCCACCAGAGAACCTCAGCAGAGGGCAAAGCACAGCCACCAGCACAGAGCACTTTATTATTTACCACAGCCAAACCAGCTCACTGCCCTCCTGCCTGCGCTGAGGGCGAGCCCCAGCCTCCCAGGATGCCCCTTTTCTGGGAAGAGCCCCCCCAAACCAGGCTTCAGCACCCAGGGAAGAGCCTGGAGAGCCCCATGGCAGGGAGGGGACACGCTGGGCTTGTGCAGCACAGCCAGGACCCTGAGAGGCAGAAAGAACAGGGGGGGACCCCGTACACAGAGCTGAGAGCTTTTACAGAGCTGAGCCCCCACACCCAGCTGCCCCCACAGAGGGATCCCCCACAGGACAGACGCCCACGGACGGACTGATGGACGGGACCAGAGCCTGCTCAGTCCCAGTGGACCTTGACTGGGGGGAAGGTCCAGAGGTCGGGGTGGCCCATGTGGAGCAGGGAGCTGCAGGGGGACGCGCTCCAGCGGAAGGGTGGCACGTCATCCCAGGCGGGGCCGCTGACTGCCACCAGCCCGAAGGTGGGCACCATGCCCGAGGAGGTGACCTGCACGTGGGGACACAGACAGGGCAGCGAGTCAGCACGGGGCACGGGCTGCACAGCCCCCGGAGGAGCCCCCGCAGGGCTGCCTGGCGGGCACACCTTCATGTCGATGCCGCCGTGGCAGCGCTGGCGCAGGGCGGGGAAGGGGTAGGAGCCGTTGGAAGGGTTGAGGTCGGAGCGGGCGGAGATGGCGTTCTCGGCGTTCTGGGGGGGGTCACAGCCCCTGCACCGCGACAGGGGGTCCTGCAGGTAGTTGTTGGACCTGCAGAAGGGAGGGGACAGAGCCACGGTGAAGACACAGAAAAAGCCCACAGATCACAGAAAATTCCTTGGGGGAACAGCCGGGTTTGGGGGTGCCCAGCACACACCGCATCAGGCGGATCATGGAGTCCAGGTCGTGGACCAGCGTCTGGTTCCGGCGGAAGATCTGGGCACGAGGGTTCTTGTCATAGGTGAACCAGTCGCCATATTTCCTCACCAGCTCCAGGTTCCCACTGGTGTTGAAGATCTCCTCGAAGTACCTGGGGTGGGGGAACCCAGCAAGCTGGCACCAAGGGCGTGCAAGGTGGGCACTGCTGCCCCTCTGTCCAGGGTGGGCCACAGGGAGGGATGGCACTCACGGCACGTTGTAGCTGGCCCAGTAGCCCTGCTGGTACAGCAGCTTTGTCTGATCAGCCACCACCACCAGGCCCCTGTGCTGGGAGGAAGAGCACTGGTCAGAGCAGAGGGGGGAAAGTCACAGGGGTAATAGGGGACACACATGCTGGGCTGGGGGGAACACACACTGGGGGTCCCCACTGTGGGGTTCCCACACCAGCCAGAGGTGCTGGGCACCCATCACTTCAGCACCAGCACCCCCAGAGCCTTCAGCCACAGACAGGCCCCACTGCCCAGTGACCACCCATGAGGCTGGGAAGGCATCATCCTCAGGACCTTCCCAAACCCACAGGGATGGGACAGGAGACAGCAGAGGCTCAGGGAGGAATGGAGCCACTCACGGGATCTGCTCCAGCACTGTCAGCACGCCCGGTGCAGGGCTCGCTCTGCCCGGTGTGAAGGCATTGTAGTCCACCACCATCCACTGGTTGTTGTACCTGGCATGGAGAGCAAGGAATGCATCCCTCTGGCAGCCTGGGCACCCTCATCCAATCCCACTGATGCCTTAGGTTTTAGCTTTTATATTTTTCAGATTCTGTGCTGCTTTAGTGTGTAGTTCTAAGGTTCATATTAAGGGATGTGAGCTCTATTCACAGATTGGGGAGACAAAACAATTCCTTCTCTATCTTGGGACCAAGGACAAATGATCCAAATCTCAGGACCAAGAGCATAAACAACACGGACTGAAGAGAGAAAAACAAGAAGGATGGGACTGCATAACCTAAAACTGTAACTGGACAATTAACTCCAAGATGCAAATGGACCAGAACTGATCCAAGTGAGAGACCCCGTGACCAGTCGTGCATTTTGTGACCATTTTGGTTCATCTTGGGTGTAGCCCTGGCTGGGCTCTTGTGCTGCCCAAGGTGGATCCATTGAGGCCTTTTAATAAATCCCCACTTTATTCTTTAACCCTGTCTAGCCCCTGTTCTAGATCAGCCTTCACAAGGTACCACCGCCCCTCCAGGACCAATTCCCAGGCCCATCCCACCCCACCCCACTCACGTGCCGCTGTTGAAGCGTCGGAAGAGCGCGGCCCACTCGGACCCACTGCGGGCCAGCCTGTTGGCCACGATGTTCCTCAGCCACTCCAGGACGCTGCCCCGGGGCTCCAGGTACTTCCACAGGGCCGGGTTGTTGTTGCCAATGGTGGTTTCCAGCGTGACCTGCAGGGCAGGGAGCGATGGGGAGGGCAGCAGGGCTGGGGGGGTGCCTGAGGAGCAGAGCCACTCACCAACCCGCTGCTGAGGATGTAGAAGTCATCCATGGAGAAGATGGTGCCGGGGTAGGAGGAGAACACCTGGACGCTCCCAGGGATCTGGGACTTGCCTGGAGGGGGGATGCAGAGCATCAGGAGGGGGGTGTGAGGCGCAGCCCCCCCAGCCCAGCGCACGCACCGCCGGCCGAGGCGCGGAAGGGCAGCGTGTACTTCTTGATGACGCGCAGCATGGCCTGGTAGGAGCTCCAGGTGTCGTGGGCCACCAGCAGGTCCCGCTGGCCCGGCAGCAGCTTCACCAGAGCCGAGCAGGAGCCCGAGCCCAGCACACGCTGCGGGGAGGAGCGGTTCAGGGCAGACTCCAGGTCCTCCAGGTCACCTCCCAACTGCAGCAGCCTGGGGGGAAGCAAGGCATAAGATGTCAGGTGAGGGATGCCCCAGGCCTGGAGCTGAGCTGGCTCAGAGCTCTCTGTCCATCTGTCCATCTCCACCACACCCCAGGGCAGGCACTCATGCTGGCAGCACCCTGGTAGCATGAGCAGGGAGGAAAGGGGGAGCACAGCAGTGGGGAAACTGAGGCAGGGCTGTGGGGGGAACGCACCACCCAGCACACGGGGTGGGGAAGAGGACAACCTGCCTTGGCTCCGACCTGCCACAGCAGCAGAAGACAAATGCCCAGAAAAGGTGAACAAAGTAGACTGGGAGTAGAACTGGCTGCTCCTGGACATGCAGGAATGCAGGAGTGCAGGAATTGTCCCCACAGCACTCCAAACCCTGGGACAACCCTCCCCCACTCTCCCCCACCTCTGAGAAGGAGCTTACAGGAAGCCAAAGGGTGCCAGGGAGATCCTGCCCCTGGGGAAGTCCAGGCGCCCGTTGTAGCTGTCCTCCAGCCCCTTCAGCTGCAGCAGGGCCAGGCGCACCTGGGGACAGGGGACAGAGCTGGCACCCGGCTCCTGTGAGGAGGCAGGCTGACAGGATTTGGGGGACAGGCTCCCTCATTCCCCCAGGGGACAGAGCAGATCAGTTGGGTCTCAGTGCTGCTGCAGAGGCACGGGGGGAAGTGTCACTGTCAGCAAGGTCATGACTCAGCACCCATGGCCGAGAGTGATAAAGCCACCTCCTGTGCACCCCAACTGCAGCATGCAAGGCTCTGGCGAGGACAAAGTCACGAGTCACCTCTACTCACCCCAGGAAGGAGGATGACCACATCCCTGTCATCCCACCTGGAGCTGGGCCAGGACAGCTCACTGCCCCGTACTGTCCTCTGGGCTAAAGGCCCAGGAGGACCCAGGGGGTTCCCCTGGTGGGGGTTCCCCATCCTCACCTGGTGCCAGTACTCGGTGTCCTGCCCCTTCTCCATCTGCTCCTCCATCCAGGCCAGGTTGGCCTCCAGGTAGCTGCGCAGCTTCTGGCAGTACTCGCTCTCGTACTTGAAGGGGCCGCAGTAGCCCACCATGGTGTTCATCCAGTGCATGTACATCAGCTGGGGGACAGGCCAGCTGTCACCGCCGGGGCACAGCCCGGGAGCCACCAGGACACGCATTCCTGGAGGGGTCCCCCTTACCTGCTCGGTGACGGCAGCCTCGGCGAGCCCGGCAGCGTAGGCCTGCAGGCTGTCATTGTACGAGGCGTTGGTGGCCACCTCCAGGAAGGCCCAGCTGTGGGGACACGGGCACGGTGGGTCACGGACACGGCTGGGACGGGGCACCCCACCGGCCACGGCTGCCCCGCGGCCACCCCACCCCCGCTCGGCTCCGAGCGGCCCCGGCCCGTCCTGTCCCGTCCGGCCCGGCCCGGCCCATACCCGACGTGCGGGATGCGGTCATCGAGGCTGGCCCAGGCGACGGCGGCGGGGTGGCGGCCGGGGAGGACGCGCAGCCGCTCGGAGCCGGGCTCCAGCAGCACGGAGACATTGCGGGGCACCGGGGACGGGGCTGCGCCGGCCGGGACGGCGGAGAGGAGCGGGGACAGCAGCGGGGACAGCAGCGAAGCCACCAGCAGCACCCGCGGGGCCGCCATGGCGGGGACACCCAGGGGCGGGGCTAGGGAGGGACCACGCCCCTATCAGCGCCGGCGCGAGTGAATGGGCGGGGCCGGGGCGGGGCTTCATGGTGACCACTCCCAGCCATGCTCCGTTGTATTACTGGGGCAGGGCTGGGTTGGGGGCGGGGCGTCAGTATGGCCACGCCTCAATCAGAGCTGCCGCGCATCGGCGGGATGACCATGTTTGGGGCGGGGCGTTGCATGGGCCACGCCCCCAGAGCGGCGCCCCGTGTACACTCCACAAGGGGCGGGGCCTGGGGCTGGGCTTCTGGCATGGTCACGCCCCCGCCGCTCCGAAGCGTGGGGACCCCTGAGGCCCCCCCACAACGCCCCTGTCCCCCCAAGGCCCCACGGCCCCACGGCCATACCCACGCTGCCATCGCGCCTCTCCCGGCCCCACGGCCATACCCACGCTGCCATCGCGCCTCTCCCGGCCCCACGCCCTCAGGAGACGTGCGCAGGTTCCTCCTCCCCGCCTTCGGGGGACACGCGTGGGCCCCTCGTGTGAGCTGTCACAGCCCGGCCGCGGCGTGTCCCCGTGCTCCGGGCAGGGCGAACACTCGGGGTGCTGCTGCCTCCCTCGGGCCCCAGAACCGCGGCAGCCCCGGCCTTGCGCAATTCCCTGCACCTCTCTCCGGGGGGAAGGGCAGAACGCAGCCTGGGGGAGGAAACGGAACCAGGGTGGGAAATGGACCTTTGAATCCCGTGGGTTCTTTGAATTCCATGGGTTCTTTGAATCCCATGAGGGTGTTGGGGCTCCGGCCGTGAGGGCCAACCTGCACCCCACAAACAGGCACGGCGCTTGCACGGGGCGCGGCTGAGGCAGGGGTGTGCTGGAGCTGGGGTGTGCGGAGAGGAGCCCCGGCCCCTCCGCGGGTGTGGCACCGCCGGCCGGGGGTCTGTGCCCCGCGGGGCCGAGGCTGTCCCACACGGGACACCATCCCGGCCGCGCTGCGCTGCGCCGGGCCCGCCCGTTCGCAGAGGCTCAGCCGTGTGGGGCTGTGCGGGGCGCAGCCCGCAGGCCGGCTGTCCCCGCCTCAGAGGGACGGCACGGAGCAGCGGGCCCCGTCTGTCCCCTCCGGGCGGCCAGCGCGTGGGAAAGCGCCGCTGTCGCTTTAAGGGCGGAGGGTGGCGGCCCCTTTAAGGCGGGGGGGCCGGCAGGGATCGGCTGCCCGCGCTCGGCAGCGGGGCCGCGCCGACACGGTGGGGCCGCGCCGCGGCTGGGCTTCCCGGTACCCCCATCCCTCCATCCTTCCTTCCTGCCATCCATCCATCCCCGCCCGGCATCCCCACCCCCCGGGGTCCCGTCCCCTCCCTGTCCCCTCCCTGCCCTGCGGGTGTCCCCGGGTCCCCCGCTCCTTCTCCGTGGGCTGTGGGTGCCGTTTCCCCTCCCTCCGCTCGGGGTGGCCCCGGGCTGAGCCCCCCCCGGCGGGGCCGTGGCGCAGCCTGCCCGCGGGAGGCTCTGCTTTTTATCCGTTTTGTTATTTTTAGCATTCATTATAATTTCCAATTTTATTACTAATTTTTAACCCCGCCCGGGGAGCGCGGGATGGCGCTCCGGGGGCAGCCCCCACTCCGTGCCCCCGGGGAGCGCTGCCCGTGGTAGGTGTCCCCCGGGGCTGTCCCCGCCAGGACAGGGCGCCATGGGGCAGGGGGCATGGCTGGCCGGGGTGCTCAGCCTGGCCGGGGCACTGCCGGCCGGGACCCCGCTGCTGCTGGACGGGGGGCACACGCTGCCTCCCGCCGGGGATGCGCTGAGCCACGCACCGGGCCTGGATGTAAGTCTGGGGGCTGCGCTGGGATGTGGGAGGGACGCGGGGAGGGATTTGGGTGCTGCCGGGGTGGTGGGGTCCCGTCCCGTCCCTGCTTCCATGTCCCCGCCATCGCAGCAGGGATCTCACCCGGATTTCCTCCGCTGCTGGTTTTCTCCTCCGAAAACCTCTCTGCCTGCCAGGCCGGCGCCTTCCCATGGCCCGGGCTGGGTGTGGGCTGTGTGGGGACAGGGATGGGGTGGGGACAAGGATTTCCACCTCTGTTGGCCTTGGCACAGCCCTCGACCCACGCACGTGTAGCACAGGTGGGGAAACTGAGGCAGGGCTGACAGTGACCTGCCATAGCAGCCCCATGGCAGCGCCCGGGGGGCGGTGGGTGGCAGTGTCCCCTCAGGGTGGCCGTGGCAGCCTCGGGGAGGGCGGTGGGTGCTCGGGGCCCGGCCACGCACCCTCCCCTCCCTCCGCAGTGCTGGGAGGTTCGGGAGCACAACAGCTCCGAGTGGTGCCACTTCATCCGGAGCAACCCCGACTGCCGGCTGGACGGGGGCTTCCTCAACTACCTCGATGGTGTCTTCTGTGTCTTCCCGCCCCGGCTGCTGCCCCTGGCTGTCACCCTCTATGTAAGGACGGGAAAGGGCAGTGCTGGGGATGCTCTGCTGGGGGGCTGTGTGGTGGGGACCCCAGTGACCCCTCTCTGTGCCACCCCTGACCCCACAGGCTCTCTGGCTCCTGTACCTGTTCATCATCCTCGGTGTGACAGCAGAGAAATTGTGAGTGGCCCTGCAGAGGAGAGGGCTGTCCCCAGAGTGACCAGGAGCCACAAGCAGCCCCATCACCTCTCTGTGTCTCCTTTTCTGCCCTTCCAGCTTCTGCCCCAATTTATCAGCCATCTCCACCAACCTGAAGCTGTCCCACAATGTGGCAGTATCCTTGCCAAATCACAGGGGCCTCAGGCAGGAGGGATGTGGGGACAGGGCAGGGGAGGTGGCCATGACAGGGTCACTTTGTGTCCCCTCGGCATGATGCCAGGGGAAACCCATTGGGAGGTTGCAGTGGGACGAGTGGTCACGTGCTGCCACTGGACAGGAGTGCACAGCACCCATGTCCCCACGGGGAGGAGGACACCAGGTCTTTTCCTTGACGTCCCCTCTCCATGGTGTCACCTTCCTGGCCTTTGGAAACGGGGCCCCTGATGTCTTCAGTGCTGTGGTGGCTTTCTCTGACCCCCGGACAGCGGGGCTGGCCATCGGGGCCATCTTTGGTAAGGGCACCCCCGTGCCGTGTCCTCACAGGGTGATAATTTGGGGCTGTGGATGTTCCCATGTCCCGAGACAGTCCCCCTGTGCTGGCAGGTGCCGGGGTGTTTGTGACCACGGTGGTGGCCGGGGGCATCGCCCTGGTCAAGCCCTTCACGGCCGCCTCCAGGCCCTTCCTCAGGGATGTCATCTTCTACATGGTGGCCGTCTTCCTCACCTTCGTGGTCCTCTACTTGGGCAGGATCAGGCTGGGAGAGGCTCTGGGTGAGTGCTGTGGGAGCTGGGCATGGTGGGGGCAGCCCAGGGGTGCCGTGACCCCCCCATCACTCCCCCATCCCAGGTTACCTGGGGCTCTACGTGTTCTACGTGCTCACCGTGGTGCTCTGCACCTGGATCCACCGGCGGCAGCGCGGGGACGGGCTGGCCCCTCCCGGAGCCTGGGAGCCAGGTAAGGGCTGCCCAGCTGGGATGGGACCCCCGGTGTGCTGGGGTGCCCTTCCAGTGCCCCTGCCCACTCCTCTTCCCCACAGAGATGCCGACAGATGTGGAAGAGCCGGAGCCCTCGGGCACAAACAGTGGGGACTATGGTAAGTTGTTCCCTGTGGGCTCAGGGCTGGCTCTGCTCCATCCTCGGGGGTCCCAGAGCCCCCCAAGGCTGCTGCAGGTGTGACTGAGCCCATGGGGTGACAGCCCATGGGGCAGGGGAGCTCCCTGGGGACACACAGGGGCCCCCAGCCCGCTCAGTCCCCGTGGCCCCTCTCAGGGGAGGAGTACCGGCCCCTGCTGCCCTCCCGGGACACCTCCCTGCGCATCCTCACCTCGGCCCTCAGCCCCCTGGACTACCGCAAGTGGAGGAGGAAGCCCTGGTACTGGCGGCTCTTCAAGGCCCTCAAGGTGAGTAGGGGGCAACACGAGCCAGGAGGAGCCTCCCAAGGAGCATCCCCATCCCTGCTGGCCCTTGGGGCTCTGTCCCCCCGGGGCTTTGCAGTGGGGAGGGTGGGACAGGGGCAGGTCATGGGGCACCTCGCAGGGTGTCCCAGATGGGTGTCCCCGTGCCAGGTGCCCGTGGAGCTGCTGCTGCTGCTCACCGTTCCTGTTGTGGACCCCGACAAGGATGACCTGAACTGGAAGAGACCCCTCAACTGCCTGCACATCCTCACCAGCCCCCTGCTCTGCGTCCTCACGCTGAAATCAGGCACCTGTAAGAGCCTGGGGCAGTCCCAGCTTGCAGAAGGGGACAGGACTGAGAGGGGAGCCCTGGGGACTGCAAGCACCCAGCAGAGCTGGCTTCCCAGGGGAGGAGGGATGGGCAGGGAAGAGCCAAGCTGTGTTTGCAGCTGGATACACCCTCACAAGGCTGGGGGGCTTGGCCCCCAGCATCCAGGTCCTGAGGAGGAAACGGAGCGGGCCTGGCCTGCTTGGGGAAACTGAGGCACGGAGAGGAGCAGCTCTGTGGGGGCACAGGGTAGAGGTGGCTTTAGCTGACAAGGCTTTACCTCCACCTCAAGCCTGGTGAGATCCTGTCCCAGCCTCTCTGTCCCTCCTCTCCCCACCATGTGCAGATGGGCTGTACCAGATCCAGGGCATCTTCCCAGTCTGGGCACTGGTCACACTGGTTGCCTCTGCCCTGGCCCTCATCATCTTCATCACCACAAGCAATGAGGAGCCACCCAAGTATCACTGTGTAAGGTGTCCCCCAGCCCTGAACACCCACCAGGGACCAGCACAGCCTGCTCCAGACTGGGCTGGGGGTCCTGGGCCAGAGCAGGAAGCTGGAGCTCTCTCCCAGTTCCCAATGTCCCAGGAGGGATGTCAGGAGGTGTGCAGGGTCCTGTGGGCTGCACACAGGGATCAGCTTGCTCCTCTTGCTGCCAGGTGTTTGCCTTCCTTGGGTTTTTGGCCAGTGCCATGTGGATCAACGCCGCGGCCACGGAGCTGGTGAACATCCTGCGCACCCTGGGCATCATCTTCCAGCTCAGCAACACCGTGCTGGGCCTTACACTGCTGGCCTGGGGCAACAGCATCGGGGGTGAGCGCTCTGCTGCTCCCAGTGCCCCCCTGGCACACCCTGGTGTCCCCCTGCCATGCCCAAGGTCTCCTTTTGCCCCTCCACAGACACCTTCTCTGACCTCACCATGGCCCGGCAGGGCTATCCCCGCATGGCCTTCTCCGCCTGCTTCGGGGGCATCATCTTCAGTATCCTGTGCATGCCAGGGCCAGGGTGCTGGCACGTGGGGCAGGAGCTGCCCGAGTTCCCCTGGCTACAGCCCAGGGAGAGCCCCTTGTGCTGTGGGATCCCTGGAGAGGAGCTGGGATCCATCCCAGAGTCGCTCCAATGCTGGCAAAGCCCACAGTGTTCCCGCAGTGCAAAGGGACAGTGAGGGATTTGGGAGGGACAGGAACACAGCCAGCAGCACCCCCTGTCCCCACAGCTGCCCCAGCCTCAGCTGGGCAGGAGATTAGCTGGGCTGGAGCGTGGCAGATTTGGGATTTGCCAAAGGGTAGGAGGGGAGGGAGCTGTGCCTCGCTCGGGTGGTTTTGGGTGAAGCCT